TTACAGCTCAATCTTCGTTAAAACCGTCAGAAAGAATTTCTAAGCTAATCTAACCCAATGTACTGTAGAAGGTTAATATAATACCTCCTATTACACACTCCAAAAACATCGACAACGGATGATTCAAAATGTTACAGCTCAATCTTCGTTAAAACCGTCAGAAAGAATTTCTAAGCTAATCTAACCCAATGTACTGTAGAAGGTTAATATAATACCTCCTATTACACACTCCAAAAACATCGACAACGGATGATTCAAAATGTTACAGCTCAATCTTCGTTAAAACCGTCAGAAAGAATTTCTAAGCTAATCTAACCCAATGTACTGTAGAAGGTTAATATAATACCTCCTATTACACACTCCAAAAACATCGACAACGGATGATTCAAAATTTTACAGCTCAATCTTCGTTAAAACCGTCAGAAAGAATTTGTAAGCTAATCTAACACAATGTACTGCAGAAGATTAATATAATACCTCTTATTACACACTCCAAAAACATCGACAACGGATGATTCAAAATGTTACAGCTCAATCTTCGTTAAAACCGTCAGAAAGAATTTCTAAGCTAATCTAACCCAATGTACTGCAGAAGATTAATATAATACCTCCTATTACACACTCCAAAAACATCGACAACGGATGATTCAAAATTTTACAGCTCAATCTTCGTTAAAACCGTCAGAAAGAATTTCTAAGCTAATCTAACCCAATGTACTGTAGAAGGTTAATATAATACCTCCTATTACACACTCCAAAAACATCGACAACGCATGATTCAAAATTTTACAGCTCAATCTTCGTTAAAACCGTCAGAAAGCATTTCTAAGCTAATCTAACCGAATGTACTGCAGAAGGTTAATATCGTGTCTCCTACTATACATCCTAATAACATCGATTAAGCAAAATTGAGAATTACAAGGCTCGTAGTGCCACCAAATCTAATAATTTCCACCAAAAGGATCAGAACAAACTGTTGATCCAATACACTGCAAAGAGTTAATATAACATTCCCTACTATACATTCCGAAAACATCAATCGCGCAAAGTTGAACATTCTGCAGCCGAAATTAAGTTCAAACTCCCAACCCAACTTAACCACGTGCACTTCAAAGAGCTGCTATAACACACCAACACCACTGTGCATCCTACAAACATCGAACCACGCTGAATAAAAACTCCTGGCAAAATCGAACAATCTCCGTAAAAGAAGAAGCAACTCATCGCGTGACTGCTAAGAAGAACAGAGAAAAAAATATCCTCATCGACGAAAATTGAACGAAACACTACACACTTTGCTTCAATCCGTTAATAATAACAACAATAATCGTAGCCCCTTCGAGGGCAACATTAGAACCGTCGAGCCGTCCCATAAATAGAAGGGTAAATACCCTATAAATCAGCGGTGTGGCCTCGATCGAACGGGCAAAAGGTAAACGGGGCTCCGTTTTCGTGCTCGACGGCCCTGAACGCGTCAGAGGAAAACAGAGAGACGACCAGCAAGGGAGGGTTTCACGGTATTTTTAATTTCACCCTCTGATCGTCGGTCGAGGCTCAGGAGCGCGCGCGCGCGCTCGCGCACGCTCCAACCATGTTTGTGCGTGGCCACTTCACGTGAGGATGGAACAAAGAACGAGCTCACGCATCAAGCCCTGTTTGAAACGCGATGACCCTCTACGGATACGCGTGTATGTGTCTGTGTGTGTTACGCATGCGAACACACGGTACTACGCCAACAGACAATGCAGCTCCCTGGACCTACGTCAATGCGAAATTAAACTGGCACAGTGGCGACCCTGCTGCTTCTCTCGTACCTCTCTCTGGGGAACTTGGGGAGTCGGACAGAGGCCTTTAAATTGTCACTATATGGGTTATTGCTGGAGATAAGGCTCACATTCCTGGGTTGAAATTTAATTACCGAGCAGACTGCGTATCTGTGTTGTCTGCAGTTTATGGTTTATAAA